ATTACACTGGCATTGAGGTGCAGAATGGGCAATATTCAATCTTGGACAAGTGACAGGTTTAAGATCCTACTTCCTGCTATCCTTTGAGGACTAGAAATGAAAGCTATAAATCACTGGACAGAGAGCTTCATAGCTTTCCAATGGGATATCCATTCCTAACTTTGCAATGGAATTTTTCCATTGTCCTCTTGTTATAAACTACTATTGCATGCAGCAGCAGAAACTTGATGCAGCCTTTTGGTTAGGACATTATCACCTGGGAGGATCTAGTAGCAAAAACAAAAGACTTTAACATCCTCAGTGGGCAAACAATAGATACTTTGATTTACTTGTTTAGCAAATGTACAGCATTCTCTTACACTGGAACATTTTACATAAGCTATTTTCCTCCTCCCTCCACCCTCTCCCCCCAGCAGAATAGGAACAACTGAGTAATTCTCTGATGTTTGTTTATTTTCTCATGTACATTTTATCTGTGATTAGTATATTTCTTACAACTTCCTGAGTTCTGGTTTCTGATTTGAACATCTGCCAGATTAATTGTTGATAATGCCTACACTGTTCCCTCTTGATGATTTATATAACACCCTCCTCCTTCTCCTCCCATGAGGAAAGAGAGCCATGGGGTGTAGTGGCCTTGTGAGTCAAACATGGCTCTGCACCACCCCTAATTATGGACTGCACATACAAGATGTGTTGCAAAGAGAGGTTCTTTAGAACAAGGTTAACTATTATAATGGGAGTTAACAGAGCTAGCAGACTAGGCAAAGTAGCTTCATCTCAGAGAAAGCCTAGGGTAGGGTGACCAGATGTCCCGATTTTATAGGGACAGTCCCGATTTTTGGGTCTTTTTCTTATATAGGCTCCTATTACCCCCCACCCCCGTCCCGATTTTTCATTTTTGCTGTCTGGTCACCCTAGCCTAGGGTGCTTTTTATTATTTGGACACTGCTTTCTACTCTTAACTGTTCTGTAGTATTGCTGTGTGCTGTTTACAAACAGCTGTGTTCCCCCACGGAAGTGGCGAGTGAAATGATTACTAGGAAAACATGTATATCTCTTTGGATGACTATACAGAGAGAAAGAGAGAGTTTGGGGGATATTTACATTGCTTCTGAATGAATTATATAGGTCATCCATATGAGTGACAATAAAGCATTTATTTCACACCACATCAAGTATTCTCTATATGCCTCATATCTTACAGAAATGCAGAAAGCCTGTTATAGAAGGATTGAAAACTGAAACTGAAATATTATTGGAACTATATTTAACTCTTCTGATGGTAAGAGCATGTGCCTTAGATTCATGATGAATTCAGCTGTCCATGAGTCCATGAGTCCAGAAAAGGAGATTAAAATGTTAACTAAAATATTTAAAACACTTTTAAAATGACCTAAAATAGTTTTCTTGTACATAAAAAAATCATAGTTTTAAGGTCCAATATTTGGGATCTTCCAGAACTAGAAGCAAGTCCTGTCAGAAAGATAGGAATAACAAGCACAAATCTGGGTGTAACGTACTATGTCAGGGGTGGGCAAACTTCTTGGCCCGAGGGCCACATCTGGGTATGGAAATTGTATGGCAGGCCATGAATGCTCACGAAATTGGGGGTTGGGGTGCAGGAGGGTGCTCCGTGCTGGGACCCAGGGGTTCGGAGGGCAGGAGGGGACCAGGGCAGGGGCAGGGGGTTGGGGCATGGGAGAGGGTCAAGAGTGCAGGCTCCAGGTGGCGCTTACCTGAAGCAGCTCCCGGAAACACCAGCAGCAGCAGCATGTCCCCTCTCCGGTTCCTACACAGAGGCGCATCCAGGTGGTTCAGCGCGCTGCCCCATCTGCAGGCGCTGCCCCTGCAGCCAATGGGAGCTGTGGGGGCGGCACTTGGGGTGGGGGCAGCGTGCAGAGCCCCCTGCCTGCCCCTACGCATAGGAGCTGGAGGGGGGACATGCTGCTGCTTCCGGGAGCTGCACGGAGCCACGGCATGCATGGAGCGGGGCAAGCCCCCAGCTGGAGTGCCAGAGCAGGGCAAGCCCCAGACCCTACTCCCCGGCAGGAGCTTGAGGGCCAGATTAAAACGTCTGAAGAGTCGGATGTGGCCCCCAGGCCGTAGTTTTCCCACCCCTGTATTATGTGCTTGTCTACATGGCAATTGACCTGAATAGCTATTCCAGAATAGCTCCCCATGCAGATGCTATTCTAGAATAAAAGTCACTTTATTCTGCAATAATTAATGCACTTCCAAGTCAGAGTAATTATTCTGGAATAAAATTACTTTTGTTCTGGAATAGTATCCACACATGGAACTATTCCAGAATAGCTATTATGGATTAGTTTATTTCACAATAGCCATGCTAATCAATTTTCCCCTGTAAACAAGACCTTTTAAAAAAAATTTCAACGGAAACTAATTTGTTTGGCGAGGTAGTGTGTCTAGTGGCTAGAGTACTGGGCTGGGAGACAGGAGACCTGAGTTCTAGTCTCAACTCTACCAATGGCCTGCTGGGTGACCTTGAGCAAGTCACTTCACCTCTCTCTGACTCAAGTTGCTCCCTCTGTAAAATGATACCTTTGTAAAGTGCTTTGAGATTTACTGATGAAGAGCACTACATAACAGCTAGGTAGTGTTATTACTGTATGGGACTGGGTGCTCTTGGTTTCATTCATTTTGAGATGGGGGCGTAAAATACTGGCCCTGTTGAAGTCAATATAAATTTTGCCATTGACTTCACTGGGGCTAGGATATCACCCTACATGATACGGTTGATGTGTTCTAGGCAGTTTAAAGGTAAAATAAAAGGCTTTTTATTACCTTCTAAGCCCTGAAGTTAAGATTTGAGTTTCTTTGCTAACACCAGTGAAGAGCTACCCACTCCTTCAGGTGTCAGTGATGCCATCAGTAGCAGATGAGGAAACATTGAATCATGAACTCAGGTCTTAACAGGAATGGAAAGAAGGAAGTTATTTAATAGCTTTGTTTTAAAGTGCATTATGCATCATTTGAATGTTGATGTAACTTACTACAGAAGTTAAAGAGTTTTCATGTATATAAGGTTTTTTGGAGACTTTTAAAACATTTCCATTCACCTTCAGGAAGCTAGTGAATGTCTGAGCCTTCTCCCAATGCGAGGCACAGTGTTCAGAGCCCAAGTCTAGGAGCTGGGAATGCATGAGTTCTAATCACAGCTCTGCTACTGGTTAACTCTGTACCCATGATCAAGTCACATGTTCATCTTTCTGTCTCACTTCCCCACGCAGCAAAATGGGAATAATAACGTTTTGCAGCCTACTTCACAAGGGCATTGAGACATTTATTTAGTTAATATCTGAAGTGTTTTGGAGATTAAAGTGCGATAGAAGTAATTAGAATTATTATATTTTGCAAATATTTGATTTGTATTGTGGTGAGTTAAGGGGTTGATTGCGGTTGGGATAGCTAATGTAATCTGTATTTGTTTTATATACTGAAAAGTATGTACTTGTGCCAAGAGCTTCAGGACAGGCACTTGGTGTTACATATCAAACTAAATCAGTAACTAAGCACCACCATCAGCAGCTCCCTACAGCTGTACCTAAGAGTAAATATATAACGCTATTGTAGTGGGAGGAGAGGTAGCACAACAAAAAATGCTTTTCAGCAGATAAATAGCTATGATTCAGACAGGATATAAGAGATAGTTAACCTAAGTCCATCAGATGGGTTTTTGATTTTAAATAATCTTAATAAAACAGAACATTCCAATAAACGGATCACAAGGCTGTGAGACAGTAACTTCTGGTTTCTAATCCCAGTTTTGCTTTGTAGAGCATGTGTAAATTAATACTTAGTTCACAGCAAGTCATGGTGTGAATTTACTCTGCACCAGCCTGATGCAAGCTAAGTGTCCACCTGAACCCTCCTGCCACACACTAAAATTTCCCTAGTGCACTTTTGTCTATCCCGCTTTCAAATGGAAGCAGATTACAGAGCACTAGGGAACTTTTAGTGTGCGATAGCTGGGTCCACATGTACTCTTGGTGCTCAGTAGGCTAGCGCAGGGTAGATTCATGTCCCAGTTTGCTGCAAACAAAGCGTTTGCATAGACAAGCCCTTACTTGCTGGATGATTTGGAGCAAAATCTGTAATGTCTCTGTGCCTCAGTTTCCCAATCTATCAAGTGGGGATACAGTTACTTTCAGGGGTTTTATCCAGGCTCATTAGTTAATGTTTGTGTGGAACTTGGAAAGAGCATGTGTTGTGTAACTGCTATTAGTATTATTAACCAAAATCACCAGCGGACCAAATTCAGTGATGAATCCTGGTCACGTGCCACTTGAGGCACATTGTGCATGCAGCTAAGAAGAAGATCAGGCAGCTGTCCCTCAGCTGGTTACAAGTTTATTTTTAAGCTTTGTCATGTCCTGTTTTCACCACATTCATAAGAGAAAAGGGGCTCTCTTTTTTTAAACCTACTCACACTGTCGCACTGCCTTCCTTCCCAATACAAAAATGAACAGATGAGCTGAATAAAAATGATGATATAATGCCCTAGGGTTATTTTTATCCTTTGCTGTCATGGGCATTCAGATCACCTTGAGATGTTATTTAAAGACCTAATCTTTGTATAACTTCTGATGATATTGCACTGGTTAAATGGTTGACAAAGATATTTAATTATGTTCAGCACTTATATAATATGTTTCATCCAACACGCTCAACGCACTTTACAAAGATAAGTACCATTATTCTCCCGGTACAGCTAGAAAAACGGAGGCAGGAAAAGGTTAAATGACTTGCCCTAAATTGCACAGAGAGTCAGTGGCAGAGGAGGGCATAGACCCAAGGTCTTTAAATCCCAATCCCCTACCCGCCTGAAGAACAGCTGTTTTCCACTCTCCCAATGCCAAACCAAACTCTAGTTTAGCGCAGGGCACAAAGTGGAAACACTGTGCACAGCGCACAGACCCCCCCGGAACGGGGGTGCCTTTTCTCACCTCCTCTCCATCCCCTTCCCACCTACCCACCTGTTTGTAGGCATCTAGGAGGAAGCTATTCCAGACGCAGCGTAGTCCCTCCGAGGTCAGCATTCTTCTCCACTCGCCACGCGCCGCCTTAGAGCGACTCAGGAGCAGCACCATGTGCTTCAGGAGGATCACAGAGTCGTAGAGTGCAAGAAAGAGGCAATTGGAGAAAAAAACCGGCAAGATCTGAAGCGCGATCAGCAAATCCACGCTTAACAGACCCATCTTCCCTGCTGCTGCTCTCCAACGGGTTCCCTTCAGCTCCCTTTTTTGCCCTGAGCACTCATTTAAAAAATAAGATAAAATAAAATGAAAGGCATTTTTAAAAAACTCATCAGCCCCCTCCACCTCCCGCCTCTTTCTCTCAACGGCAGCAGAAATTATTAAATATACTCAGGCTGGTCAAAACCAGAACTCAGCATGAAATTCATTCTACTCTGAGCTGCTTTTTCTTTTTCAGAGACTAAAATGTTTCCCTTATCCAATAGCCCTTTTGAGTCCGTTAAAGACAGAGGCAGCTGTGCTTCTACTTCCCTGCAATTATGAAATTTAAGCAGAGATCGTTCACTTTCCTCTCCTGTCCCATTGTCTCTCAGCTATTTAAGCACTAAGCAGACCTCTAATTTCTGTGTCACCAGTGTTACCAGGTGCAACGCTACTTTTTTTTAAGGTCTTTGTACACAAACTTTCTGTCCCTCTCTCTGTGTGTCCCTGTCTCCCTCCTCTCTCTCGCTATCTGTCTGTGGTGCAAAGTGCTTTCCCTCTGGAGTCCTAGCTTGCTTCCCTGAAGCCTTTTATACATTCCCTGGCTAATTGCTGCAATACAGAAATGAAACCCTAATCTTGGTAAAGATCTTGACGTCAATGTAAAAGAGGGCTTTACTTTGGCCAGGGCTGCTGTGAATAGAAAAGTGAAATTCTCAAAACTTTTTTTTTTAAGAGAAGAGAAAAGAGAGAGAGAGCGGGAGGGAGGGTGGAACTTTGCTTTGTTGTTGGAAAGGAGAGGAGGGAAATCTCAATATGCTGCTGGCTGCTCTTAAGAAACGCTTTCAAACTTTGGAAAAAGTATTTTCATACGACATGGAAGATAATCCAGCAACACAGGCTTCTGCTGTTGTTTTCTCTTGAGTTTCTCCCCCTCCCCCCGCCCTTGCCCTTTTGTCTTTTCCAGGAAGGTGTGTGAGTTGATACATCCCTAGAAAGGGGATATTTCTGTACATTTCCCTTCCACTCCCATTGAGTACAATGTGCACGGTGTTTTAAATATCTTTTGTTGTCTTCTCGGTATTTAAGGAAACATAAGAAAACACCCAGACTGACTTCATCTGCTGATGTGTAAGAGAGAGAGAGAGAAAAAGAACATACTTTCGGATGAGTTCTGTTAAAGTTGAAGTTCCTGACTGAAAAGATAATGGGCCAGATCCACAGCTGGTGTAAATCAGCATAGCTGATTTAAAACTTTAAGCCATTGACTTAAAATGGGGGCACATTTACATCAACTAAAGATTTGGCCCAATGTCAATAACTCATTTTTAGTTTAAAATCTCTCAGAGAACTCAGTATCTCTTGGAAGATCCATGTGTGGCCTGAAAGCCAAAAACCCACTTTGGACCCCCATAGTGAAGAAAATGATTTTTTTTCTTTGCACTGTTAATTTTCTTTTAACTTTTGTTTTACGATTTAACCGGGCAGTGGGTACCTCTGAGCTATTTTTAACAGGGTTCTAACCTCCCATCGGAAATATTTCCTGTATTTTATATTAACTTTTACATTTTTTGTTTTTGAGTTAATTTATCTGTTTATTTAGGTGCTTTCCCCATCACCACACATCTCAGGGATCAAAGCTACCGGTTGAACTGTACATCTCACCTCTCTGTTTACCCACTGATCAGACACATAGGCAGCAGCAGTGAAAGCTTCCTTCACACCATCTCGCCAATGTGTTGCAACCCTCCCAGGAACAACTTTCAGACTCCTCTGGGGGAAAAGAATATGTATATTTGGCACAAATTCTGCCCTGAGGTACAGGTGCAGGACTCACAGAAGTAACAGACACACACATACACTACAGTGACTTTATGTGTTTCCATATCAAATGCTGAAATGTTCTGGGGCTAAGCTCAGTTTTTCCTTCAAATGAAATCAGTTGTAAAGTTAAAATGCTGTTGGTGACATCACTCTGTTGCCATAGAAATGTTTGCCGTGTCACTCATTCAGCTTTATAACTCCAACTTGCAAAAACAAGTTATTAACAAGCATTTCTATATCCCCAAACATGTACAAGTCAGCATGTTCTTGTGATGTGAGCTCAATGCTAGGCACAAGGGTCTCCTGAGTGCTAATCCTGGCTCTCACACTTACTCACTGTGTGGCCAAGGGCAGGGATACCTAATCTCTCTATAGCAGGCCTTTTAAAAACAGCCATCATGCATTATCTCACCAGTAGATACACCATCCAAAATTACATTTTTCTGGCTGTGAAGGACCCCATTGTCTATACCCTTCCTTTATTCTGCCAAATAGGGTGACCAGATGACCCAATTTTATAGGGACAGTCCCGATATTTGGGGCTTTGTCTTATATAGGTGCCTATTACCCCCCAGCCCCTGTCCCGATTTTTCACACTTGCTGTCTGGTCACCCTACTGCCAAATGATATTAAAAGAGAGTTTGGGAGATGGGGAATTCCAGATCAACCATCAATCATCATTATTGGGAAGGGTTTGCAGACAACTGTAAAGTCAGTCTGGCTTGGGCTTTTCCTGTTCTCTGGCAGTAAGGAAATTCATAGCCAGGGATCTGCACGGAGAACATCCTGAATCCTGTGATCACTCAGCCATACCCTCACCTACCCACTGAGTGCAATTGCATCAGTGGTCTATGGATGGAGAGGATTTTTGTAAAACAATTAGACTCTAGCTCCTTAAGGACCTCTAAAGTGGAGCTGGAGTTGAATGGGGAGCCAATCGAACACTGACATGAAATGTTTTTGTTGATCTTTCTTGCTTAGGAGGTGGACTAAGGGAATTTGTACTAGCTGGAGCGTCCAGGTAGCCATCACATTCACCCCAGGTAGTGTGTGTTGCAAAACTCTAATCAGGAGGTGACAAATGTGTGAATCACTGTGGCCACCTGTTCTGAAGAGTTTTTGACTAGAAGGCACTTTTTGACACTGTGGCTATCTGTGTTCTCAGGAGCAGTGATGAGACTGACAGAACTCAGAGACTGCACATCACCTTGACAGTCTGAGGATAAATTCTCTCAGTAGATAATTAGGTTAATATCCATATCTGCTTCTCAAAGTATCTCCCTCTTCTTGAGCCTTAGTCATCTGCCATACACCCATGTCCTTATTTCTCTCAGGCACTGGAATATCTGGGGGTTAGCACTGCCTGTATCTACTGAGAAACAGATGTGCAAATGGTTATCTTCAGCATCACATTAGTAATATGGATCTATGGCATCTCACTACCTCCCTTAGAGGTCTCCCATCAAGTTGAAAAGAAGAGGAGGAAAGACTGAGCCTTGCAGACCTCAGCATGCAAGAACTCTTTGGGAAACGGATCAACTGCCTTTTTGAATCTCTTGGATTTGACTCTCTGAGGGGAAAGGTGGCCACTGATTGAAGTGTTGCTTAGGACTTGGGACTTCAATTCCCCTGCTTTGCCACAGACTTCCTACATGACCATAGGCAAGTCATCTAGACTCTCTGTACTTCAGTTCCCCTTAGCTGTAAAATGGGGAGAACAGTACTTCCCAACCTCACAGGATTTTTGTGAGCTGCTCAAATACCACAGTAAGGGGGAACATAAACATGCCACAAAGAGATTTGTCTAAGAGAAATGAGTAGAGCCAACATAGTGCTGCACCTTGCACTCCTACTGGATCTGATATGTGAATAAACAGTATCAGCATAGATGTCTGTGCTCTGTTAATTGCCATAGGAAGATCACACATTAAAACCATCCCTATGCCATATCCTGGTTTGAACCCCAATAGCAAGAAGACTAGGATACTAGCAGTGATTAAGTTCTGAAGTTTGTTCCCCACCACTCTCTTGATAACTCTGCCCAGGCTCGAGAGGTTGGAGATGGAGTGACTGCTGCTGAGATAATTGACCTCAAATGCATGTTTCTTTGAGAACCAGCTGGATTATTACTCACTGCAGGGCAGTTGGCAGATCACTTTCTCTGACAGAGGCATTGATGTTCTAGGTCCATACTGGCTTTCTGCAGCTTAAAAGGACAGGAGTCTGCTTTACATGTCCAGAACCCTTCACTGCTTTCAGGGCCTTCACTTGTGAGACAGGGATGAACTATCTATCTAGATTTTTTTTCACAGTGACTCCCATCACCATCTGGTCACCTATATGGAAGAGCCTTGAATTCCATCAAGAAACTTGATTGCTGTACATTGCTCTGACTTGGTTTCCTCAGGACCTAGCAGGTCCAATTCAAAATTAGTTTATCTTTTCCACACAGCATGACAAGAACTCCTCACAGCAAGAGATACCCATCTCTACTGCTATGGTTTTACTCGTGGGAGGTGTGCTTAGAGTTTCTGCAGAGTGCCCATGCCAGGGGGATCTTCACACTACCTGCATGCCACACAACACTGCTTCACTGTGCTCTGTTTGCAGCAATACAGAGGGAAGTTTTGGGGCTGGGGCTGGCCAGTGTGCCCACAAACTCTGAGGATCTTCTGGCCTTAACTCCCCATGTGGGTCCCCACCACTACTACAGCCTGGGAGCTTGAAGTATCCTCCCTGGAGAGGCAATGCAGCGAGATTGGCAGGAGGAGGGATTTGCCTAGCCTCCCTTCTGCCTTCCCTGCCCCTGTGCAAAACCTCCTTACTAAAGTTTTACACAAGTACAGGAATTTGGTCTCTTGGTATGTTCCAGTTTTTCTTTGCTACTGAGAGAAAACTTCTTAGCTCCTTATCACAAATCCTCTTGCCTCAAGGATTATCAAGATGCTGATTGATTATCCGTCTCCTAATTCTGGTTGGGGGAAGCAACAGATTTTCTGGGAGAAGGGATTTAAAAAAAAAGTATTTAAAAAGGCAAAATATAGTGATTTTGGCACCAGTGAAAAGTGCTGACTTGACAGCCCTGGCACTGAACTCCTTTATTTATGCACACAGAGTACAGTACAGGCAGCAAGAATGCAAGCTTCCAACACACAACCTTGCCTGGGTGCCTCCAGGATCGCCTGGAGGGAAAACAGCTAGGGCTGTGAGGGGAGTTCAGTCTCAATGGCCCAATTAGTCCTTGGGCTCTCTGAGGAAACAACTGGGGCTGATTTTATGATGCAGATACTTTGTCCAATAGGAACTGGAAAATACATCAGAAGAGAAAAATGACCAATACTAAAGATGCCTCTGGACAGGGGGAATAAAAAGTTCTACAATATGGCAAGTGAGACCCAAAATCCTCATCCCTAGAGCTGGGTCTGCCAGGAATCAGGAGGGATTTTACAATCCAGCTCTCAAATGGATTTAAAGAGCAGTGGGTAATGAATGAATAATGGTATAGAAGAGCAATGGGCTTGCCTTAGATATGTTTGCTTGGAAGCAGCCACAATTTCACTTGGATCAAGGAAAGAAAACTGTAGACGCAGCCATGAAATGGAAATTGACTGAGGAAAGAAAAGCCATAAAAAAACCAAAAGAGGCAAGCATAGGTGTCACAGAATCAGAGTTCAGCGCCAGAGGGGACCACCAGATGATCTAGTCTGACCTCCTGTATATTACAGGCTACCAGCACGACCTAGCCCCTCCACACTAAACTCAGCAACTGAAATTAAACCAAAGTATTACAGCCCACAGGTGACATGGCAAGAATACAAGCTGCAATAGGAGTATGAAGAGAAAGGCAAAG